GGCGTTTGAAAAAATAAAATATTAATAGCAAATAATCATACCATATTTGTAAGGTTTGATTTGGAATATTAAGGCATGATGGATTTGTCCAAATAAATAGGAAAATACCAAAATAAAAATATTGTTTTTCAATCTATCCAAAAAGTCTTACCAAATTTCGTTGTAACAAACTCCATTATTTTTTGCTATATAATCTTCTAAATATTCGTTCGTCCCTCACAAGTGAATCACGTTCCACATTTTTTTTTTTAACAAAACCGATACCACATATTTTGAGAAGTCAATCATAATCATAAGAAAAAAAAATTGGATCGGATCATATTAAATACCTTACGTAAATATTTTTTTTATTTCCCAAACATATGGCACATACACATGACTATATAAACATCACCAACGTTGAACAAAAAGTATTCGACATCCAATATATCCCACAAAACAATTTTTTCTACAAGCTTTTACATCACCATTGAAAATGGCTTCGGATGTTGGAGTAATGAAGGATATCAAAAGATCCAATAAGCCACTAATTTAAGCTACGCATAATTAGGATGTTCCAACGAGTTGAAGACGTACGCAGTTACCGAAATGTTCTTGAGATTATCTTTCATGATTTTGAGGTAATATATTCTTTTAGTATTATTTAAATGCATCATCTTATGCAATATCTTTTATAATTTATTTATTGAACTATTCATTATGCAATGTTTTTAGGAGGACGAATTACTGGCATAATTCGACCTGTCAATATCCAAAAAATCATTGGTGATATTGAAGAAGGTGGCGCTTATATCTTGACAAACTATTAAGTGGAAAGCAATATTGACAGCCATAAATCGACGATAGGAAAAAAGAGGATCATTGTCAATGGTCAAACTAAGATTATCAAATGGAGGGGTGATTTTCCTATTTCTAACTTAATGGATCTTCGTAACATTGATGAAGTCATGTTGTTTGGTACGTTATAATTTTTTTGTTTATTTCTTATTTCGATTTTTTTTTAATTTAAATCAGTAATAAACTATTTTATATGTTATACATTTCAATATGATGCATTTTCTTATATTTTTGTAGATGTTATTGGATTGGTTGTTTCTCATTATGTTTTCTTATGCCATGACTATAAATAAGAGTAAGGAACAATCATTATCGCATGTGGGCTTATTTCTTAGAGCATCCGCAATGCTTTGGGTCTCTTTTTGCATATGTGGCAAATAAATAGACTTAAGTCTATAATGACATGTACAAACCCAAGTTAAAAAATCCAAAATCTATCCAATGCCAAAAAAAAAAGTATCAAGTCTAGAACACCTAACAACTAATAAAAATGTAATAATAGTAAATGATTACTATTGTTAGGTTCACATTTGGGTCCAAAATAGATCCAAGAGTGGACTTGGTCTTTTTTTTTCATTGCCACATAAGCTAGACTAGGTTCAATTTTAATTGCATTGTGAAATATTTTTTTATAGACTAGGTCTATTTCTTACATGGCATGTGATTTTTTGTTAAGAGACTCAAAGCATTGTGGGTGCTTTTAAGAAACCAGTTAGTCATGGCTAATTGTATGTTGCTGTCTCCCGTGTCACAAACAGAAATGAGTTTAAAAGTTCTAATTTGTGACGTGCCAAAGAATCAAACCATGCACGTTGTATATAAGGAAGTGATTAATAATATATAGATTGCTTTATAAATTTATTTATTATTAATGGCATGATCTTTTTCTTAGTAAGTATTTTGAATTTTAACTGAATATTGCTTTATAAAAGGGACGGAGATAAGGGACTATACTAGTAGTCTAGTACTAGTTATAATAATAAAAGGTATACAAAAGAAAAAACACTCTCAAAGCCGGAGAACAGAATTAGGGTTCTTGAGATTATCTTTCATGATTTTGAGGTAATATATTCTTTTAGTATTATTTAAATGCATCATCTTATGCAATATCTTTTATAATTTATTTATTGAACTATTCATTATGCAATGTTTTAGGGAGGATGAATTACTGGCATAATTCGACCTGTCAATATCCAAAAAATCATTGGTGATATTGAAGAAGGTGGCGCTTATATCTTGACAAACTATTAAGTGGAAAGCAATATTGGCAGCCATAAATCGACGATAGGAAAAAGGAGGATCATTGTCAATGGTCAAACTAAGGGGGGTGTATTCAATTAGAACTTTTAGTGACTTTTTAAGACTTTCAAAATATTGGTGTATTCAATTGAAACTTTTTGAGACTCTCCAAAAGTTTACATGTATTCAATTAAAACTTTCCAAGAGTCTCTACAAGTTTCTTGTTATTCAATTTTAGAAGATTTTAAGAGACTTTTCAAAGGAAAGGATTCTTGGAGACTTTTTTTGTCAAAATATATAGGCACGATCCCTGTGAAAATCTCACCAAAGTTGTGAGATTTTGTTGAGCGTACAAACTCTTCTTTCTCTTGTTACAAAGGTACTCCATACTCTTCTCTCTCTAGGGTTTTTATTGTGAGTTGGTGATTGATTCAATTTGGTTTGATTTCTTCAATGTCTGATTCCATCCATCTTCCATTATTTTTCATAGCTTATATATCAGTTTTGTTTTATGTATGCGCGAGACGCCAAAGTTATGCGGATTGCGGATTTTTTTTGGAGCTTTTAATTATGTAGATGATAGCTACAAAATTCTTGTTTTGGAGCTTAATTAATGTAGATGATAGATACAAAATTCTTGAATTGATTGGGCTGAAGGCTTGCTTTTGGATTTTTTAATTAATTTTTATTATGAGTTTTTTGTTTATGCGAAGTGCAATAATTTGAACTAATGTTTATTATTCTTTATTAATCTTGTAGGCAACCAGCATAACTTGTTAATTGAATTTTAATTTCCTATAATCCTATTCCGTATTATGTTTTTCATATATTATGCCAGTTAGTCAACAAAAATCTGTATTTAATGGAGGCTGTTATGGTCATAAGAAATAATCAAATTACAAGTTAATCAATATTTATTATAATCTGGTTGATTTTGGGCTAATTGTTTGTTTGTGTTTGTTTGTTTGTGTGTATCATGCCAGTTAATCTTGTAGACACTAGGCACCATGTATCAATGAAACTGAACTCATTATTTTTGTTAAAGAAAGAAAATCATTGAGTTTTTTGAACTAATGTTTATGATTATTTATTAATCTTGTAGGCACTAGGCACCATGTATCGCATGAAACTGAACTCATTATATTTGTTAAAGAAAGAAAATCACTGAGTATGATGTTTATATTCATGTGTTACTGCTTTAGTTCATATGTGTAATTAACTCATATTAATAATTTACAACAAAATATTTTTAGAAATATTTTTTTACGTGTTTGTAAATTTAGGTAATGTAGCAATGGTAGATTCATGACAGGGAAATGAAAAAGTTCAGAGATACGAAAAATGGACATCCAAAGAGTCTAATGAATTGCTTAGACTCATAGTTGATGCAACCAATCGCAGATGACCATACTTTGAGAGTCAAGAACATGAAAAGAGAAGCTGCAAATACATGGAGATTGAGTTTGACAACGAACATGTGAAATGATGTTGGAAATATTTGATGTATTGATCATTTCATTTTTGTTCTTTTTGATTTTTTCTACTTTCACTAAAATTTCAAGAAGATAACTATTGTACTCTTTTAGTTTGATTGTTGAATTTTTTTCATGCTTTTTATCTTATCGAGTTCGTTTGTCATAATATTTTTTTTTCTCTTGTCTTCGTCTTGCTGTGGATATTGCTTAATATCATAACACATTTTAATTAATATTATAATTTTTTAATTGTTAATTTGAGTTTATAGATACTAGTTATTATGCACATAATTTTTAAGAACATTTCATACAAATTTATTATTATATAAGAATAATATAGTCTTAGAAAGTCTCAAAAAGTTCAAACTGAAAGTCTTAAAAAGTCCCCATAACAATCTCAGAAAATCCACAAAAGCAATTAAAAGTTGCATAAAGTCCACAAAAGTCATCCACTTCAAAAAGTCTTAAAAAGTCACCAAAAGTTCTAATTGAATACAACCCCCTAAGATTATCAAATGGATGGGTGATTTTCCTATTTCTAACTTTAATGGATCTTCGTAACATTGATGAAGTCATGTTGTTTGGTACGTTATAATTTTTTTGTTTATTTCTTATTTCGATTTTTTTTTTAATTTAAAATCAGTAATAAACTATTTTATATGTTATACATTTCAATATGATGCATTTTCTTATATTTTTGTAGATGTTATTGGATTGGTTGTTTCTCATTATGTTTTCTTATGCCATGACTATAAATAAGAGTAAGGAACAATCATTATCGCATGTGGGCTTATTTCTTAGAGCATCCGCAATGCTTTGGGTCTCTTTTTGCATATGTGGCAAATAAATAGACTTAAGTCTATAATGACATGTACAAACCCAAGTTAAAAAATCCAAAATCTATCCAATGCAAAAAAAAAAAGTATCAAGTCTAGAACACCTAACAACTAATAAAAATATAATAATAGTAAATGATTACTATTGTTAGGTTCACATTTGGGTCCAAAATAGACCCAAGAGTGGACTTGGTCTTTTTTTTTCATTGCCACATAAGCTAGACTAGGTTCAATTTTAATTGCATTGTGAAATATTTTTTTATAGACTAGGTCTATTTCTTACATGGCATGTGATTTTTTGTTAAGAGACTCAAAGCATTGTGGGTGCTTTTAAGAAACCAGTTAGTCATGGCTAATTGTATGTTGTTGTCTCCCTTGTCACAAACAGAAATGAGTTTAAAAGTTCTAATTTGTGACGTGCCAAAGAATCAAACCATGCACGTTGTATATAAGGAAGTGATTAATAATATATAGATTGCTTTATAAATTTATTTATTATTAATGGCATGATCTTTTTCTTAGTAAGTATTTTGAATTTTAACTGAATATTGCTTTATAAAAGGGACGGAGATAAGGGACTATACTAGTAGTCTATTACTAGTTATAATAATAAAAGGTATACAAAAGAAAAAACACTCTCAAAGCCGGAGAACAGAATTAGGGTTCTTTTGATCTGCCGAACGGATTCCTTAGTTGAAGGAAAAGAAGAACATCAAAATGAGGCCGATTTTAATGAAAGGCCACGAGCGTCCCCTGACGTTTCTAAGGTACAACCGAGAGGGAGATCTGCTTTTCTCCTGCGCCAAGGACCATAATCCCACCGTTTGGTTCGCCGACAACGGCGACCGCCTCGGCACCTACCGTGGCCACAACGGAGCTGTTTGGTCCTGTGATATATCCAGTAATATTCTTTTACCTACTGTTGTCTTCCCGTTATTTTCTTTTTGTATTACTTCGAGTCTATTTTCGACAATTATCTGGAGCTCTGATTGAGGAAGTTCCAGGACAAATGATAAATATCCGATTGAAAGTACTGTATTTTTTCATGAGGTTTCTGTCCTTTGAAGTAGTGTGGATATTGGGAAAAACGCAAGCTTAATTTTTTTTTCGTCCCTTTTTTTAGCTTCAGAGGTTAATATTCACTGGCGTTTATGTTGTTACAAAGAGCTATTTTTGGTTGCGTTTTGAGAATTTTTTACGTTGCAAAGAAATTTGGGGCAAATCAAAGATGATTTTGTGTGCAAAATTCTATCTTTCTCTTCTTATCTTCCGTTACGAGATTAACATATTTGTTACTGCATACTCCAAATGTTTCATCATGCAAAAATGTGATATTTGCTATTCTGGTTTGGTTTCACATGCGCAGAAAGGTTGTGGAATCAGAATTATTTTTGTTGTTTGTAGGGGATTCATCGAGGCTTATAACAGGAAGTGCAGATCAGACTGCAAAGTTATGGGATGTTAAAACTGGAACACCGCTGTACACATTCAATTTTGAATCACCTGCTAGGTCTGTCGAGTTTGCTGTTGGTGACAAAGTAGCAGTTATCACTACAGATCCTTTTATGGGGTTCACTTGTGCTATTCACATAAAAAGAATTTCCACAGATCTAGAAGACCGTGAGTGTCTCTAAAGTTTATGTTTTAATCAATTTTTCTTCAGATTTGTGTGCTTTCCTTTCTTTGCAGCAAATTGGATCTTTTTGGTTTTAGCATTATGCTTGTAGATTCCGCTTGCATTTAGTTATCTGTTTTGATAAGTAAATTGGGCATCAGAAACTTTGAGTAAGGTCAATTTAATATAAATTTATAGTGATAAATAATGACTCTTTCACTAAGTTGAAAAGTGTCAGTCTTCAAGATTAGTTCAGTATAATACTATGGGTGACAAAGATGGTTACAACTGTGAGAACTTAAAATTGGAGATTGTTTTGCCCTTCAACTGTCACTGTGATTCTCGAGCGAAAAAAGAGACTTATGTTAGCTAACTGTTGTAGGAAAAAATGATATTTCCAAATGTTTATAATAGCTGTAAGCCGGACATACCTTGATCCCATTCCTGCGACTTGCTGTTTGTAACTGATAATGTCAATGTTGGTGTTGCTGGTTGCCTAATTGCTTTGCCTGTGATTTTTGTGTCAACGGACTGTTTTATTGGTACTTGGATAAAATAATGAATTTTTGAAATGGCAGAGACTGCCGAATCGGTTCTAACTCTGAAGGGGCCACAGGGAAGAATCAACAGAGCAGTTTGGGGACCCCTAAACAGAACGATCATAAGTGCTGGTGAAGATACAATAATTCGTATCTGGGATTCTGAGGTCAGTATTTCTTGTAGAGTTGCCGACTTTTTTGCTGTTTCCAATGAAACATTAAATGTTAGTGCATAATACATTACTTGGGACCTAAACAATAATATCTTCTTCTATTTCCACTTTCATGTTACAGACTGGGAAATTACTGAAAGAATCCGACAAGGAGGAGGGCCACAAAAAACCTATTACCTCACTTACAAAATCTGCTGATGGTTCACATTTCCTCACTGGTTCCCTGGATAAGTCTGCAAAGGTGATGCTTGTTTTAATGTCTCATTAAATATATTTGCATGCATATTACTACCAAATTTGCATGGAGTTGCTGACTGATTTGTCCAAAATTTTCAGCTTTGGGATACAAGAACATTGAAACTTATTAAGACATATGGGACGGAACGTCCTGTGAATGCTGTTGCGATGTCACCCCTTCTTGATCATGTAAGTGAGAAATATGATCATAGCAAGTTCAGTTACCCAGTTTATTATTCACAAGTTCATTTACCTGAAGTTTCTAGAAATTTTTATTATGTTTTAGTTTTTTGGTTTGAAATTGATATCTGTTCGTGCGTGTTGCTCAATTACTTCTGAACTGGGTTATCTGGGATGTTCGGAATGCTTCTTTTTCTGAGAAAATGCTCAATGTTTTGGAGAAAGTCTGCCAGAAGTAGAACCTGATTGGATTTTAGATTACTCTTCATGTGGTAGTAGTGACACTTGTCGCGTTGCATTATTCGCATTCTTACTCCTTCAGTGGCATTTATAGGTGGTACTTGGTGGTGGTCAAGATGCATCAGCCGTTACCACCACAGATCATCGCGCTGGAAAATTTGAGGCCAAATTTTACGACAAGGTAAGATTATTTTCCATGTTGATGACGTTAAACTCAAGATATTAAGGCCAGGATAAGGGCTTTTAATAATCTTTTGAGCTCTTTCTTGTGTAGATCCTCACGGAAGAGATAGGAGGTGTGAAAGGACATTTTGGACCAATAAATGCCTTGGCATTCAATCCAGATGGAAGAAGGTAAATCTTTTCGTGTGGGCATTTGCATCTACTAGAATTTCTTTACTGTTAAGGTACCCATATTTGCTGGTTTCTGCTTGATATTTTTCTTGGTGGATATCTTGAATTGAATTTGTGTAATTTGCTTGGTCACCATGTAAGATGAGATGTGACAACATAGCCATAAACTGGGGTACCCATAAGTGCTGAACATTTGAAGTTCATCTGATGATAATTATGCGTCTCCACAGCTTATGACCCTCTATAAATCATTTTCATCATTAAACACATTCTAATATGTTCTAATCTGTTGGTCATTTATTCTTCAGTTTTGCAAGTGGAGGCGAGGATGGTTATGTGAGGTTGCACCATTTTGATCCAGATTACTTCAATATCAAGATATAAAGGCGTCTTGATTGTGCAAGTCCCGACCTGGAACCTGTTTTCATGTATTGAAATTTTGAAGCTTGGGCTCTGATTTTCTAATTGGAGCTCAACTGCACAAGGTTCTTTAGCAAATTTTATGTATTCTCAACCTGCGATGTTTTATTTTTCTTTTCTTTTAATTTTTTGTTGAAACCATTTGAGGCGAACAATTATAAGCTTCTGAGATGGAACTGTTGGTGAGGACTGAGGAGGACAAACGTTAGATACAAATTTATCCAAAAAATCCAAATATTTTTAACTCAATTTTTTTTTAATTCAACTTTAACTCAACCCAATTATCATTAATATTATTAATATAATTAAATAATATCATTCAATCATTCTTATACATCACATCAACCTTAATTCAGTATTCATCCACTCACATAATTTTAACTAACCATCACTTCAAATTATCTCTCATATTATTACATCAAATCAACTTTAATTATTTTATATTAAATATTATTTTAATATATCCACTAACAACTAACTATACCACTTTTTTCAAAATTAATCAAACCAAACCAAAACATCCAAACAAATCAAAAAAAAATTATATCCAAGCATCCTCCAAGTGCATCATTTTTACTCTTCATTCTGGTGACCTTCAACCCTGCAGAGAGTCTAAATTGGCTGAGCACGGGTCGGTTCGATTCGGAGATCCAGAAATATTCGGAACCGAACCGAACTTCGGAGATTCCAAAAATTGGATATCCGGAATCGAACCGGTCCTAACAAATCTCCGTTCCGTTCGGTTCGATTCGGTTCGGAGATTCGGTTCTAATGGGTCGATTCGGTACGGATCGGAGATTTCGGAGAGTTTTTAAATTTTTTTATTTTTTTATTTTTTTTAATAAAAATCTCCTAATTGCATGTTAGATGGTACATATCATGGATGAAAGAAAATCATAAACTTCTCTTAATTTCAATAGATATTTCGTCAATTAATAGTAAGAATAGGTGGTTAATTTTTATTTTTTTTATAAAAAAAGTGATAATTATCTTTTAGTTGTAAAATATCATAATTTAATTTGAAGATTTATATGCTAAACGTTTATATGCCAAAAAATCCGCAAGTGATAAGACATACATGAACAATAATAGTCAATTTAACGATGGATCATAAGAGTTTACAAAATTACTTGTTTGCCATGTTTTTTTTTCTTTTTTTTTTTAAACGATTAATTATATTAAAAACTTAAAACTCAAAAAAGTACAATCGAAATGTCAACTGACACTATGGAGCAACCCCTTGAAATCATAACTCCACACATGTGAAACAACACCCATAACTCCCCACATGAGAAACAATACCTGCAAAACTTGTCTCTGCCATGTTTAATAATGAAAAATGTGTCCAAAATTGCCCAAGTTTTTGTGTAATTCATTTCTCAATTTTCAATTAAGCTAGTGCACTAGGTTAAACAACGCGCACTATACAATTGAAAATCACATAGTATCGAGGTGAGATTGACATGTCCATAGTCATAAATGAATATCATTAGGTGAAAATCGCATAGTATCATATCCATAGTCATGAATGAATATCATTAGCTAAAAATCACATAGTATCGAGGTGGGACATGGACTGACATCTCCATAGTCATGAATGAATATCATTAGTTGAAAATCATATAATATCATGTCCATAGTCATGAATGAATATCATTAACTGAAAATCACATAGTATCGAGGTGGGACTGACATGTCCATAGTCATGAATAGGGCTGTAAACGAGTCGAGTGCTCGAGCTCGAGCCTCTAACGAGCCGAGCCGAGCCGAGCTCGGCTTGTTAGCCTAACGAGCTATAAATGAGCTCGAGCTCGGCTCGTTAAGGCCACGAACTCGAGTCTTAACGAGCCGAGCTCGAGCCGACCCGAGCCGAGCCGAGCCAGATTCGTTTAATTTAACAGCACTAGTTATGAATAAATATCATTAGGAAAAGTAGGAAAGATGTATGATCTAATGGTGAAAACAAATAAGATGAAAACAATTAGCATCCTTTAGTACAATCACCGTTTGCAATAAGTGATTAGCAAATCATAAATCATCATATTCTAACTCTTACCATTGAAAAACATAAAAATAAACAGAAAACATACACCCGTGAGTTGTTGCTCTTTCATAGAGTAGACTTGTTCAAATTGATTTGAACAATGTAAACATTAGATTGTACAAAGATAGAATAACCAAGATGCACACTTAATGGATTACAAATAGAACTGTTAAACGAAACGAGTCAGTTGTAAGCTCGACTCATTTGTTAAACTAGCAGGTCTCGAGTTCGTTTGAAGCTCGTTTGACTAATGCGTCGAGCTCGACTTGATGGCTCAAAAAAAAATCATATAATTTTCTATAACTCAACCCGTTAAAATTTACATTAAGTTCGTTAATATATTGATAAAGGAACATAGAACGAGTTCAATTAATGACTTGTTCGATAACGAGCCTAGATTGACTCGACTCATTGAAGGCTCAAGCTCGAGTAGCATAAATGTTGTAAATATTTTTCCGAAGTAGAATCAAGAAATTCAAACACCGGGTCGTGTCTCACGAGGAAGGTCAGCCGGAATATTATGCACGTTTATTCAAGCTCACAAAAGAAAATGAAATTCCTAAACATTCTAAATCAAAGATTGGTTTGATTATTAACTACGAAAAAGATTTCAAATACGGTAAATAGAAATAGCAAGCAACGACGAAGAACAAGTAGGATTTAAGGAGCTAAGGAGTCGGGGATATCCGTTTTGGTTCGAAAATGTAATTGTCAAGCAAGAGATTGTTCGGTTAAGTGATTTGATTAATCGACACGTTCAAGCACTCATTCTCAATAACTTTTCGTAACAAGAGAACAAACTAGAACGGTAAATTAACAATTCATTTAACTTCTAGGCAATACAGTTACGAACAAGCCTAGTTCATACGAGCCTATTTCGACCGACTCCTCCCCTTTCGGTTCTAAGAGTCGATTAAAGTGGACTAGAAAGTGTTTAATCAACTAGTCCGTATAGAATAACCAACATCAAGCAAGAATAAATC